AGGTAGCGCTTGAACTCCGTGAGGCACGAGCGCAGCTCCCGCAGCAGCGCGCCCGAGTGCGTGTACCACACGCGCGCCACGCGCGAGGTACAGACGTAAGGTACCTGGGATGCACGAGGCCGAGCGCCATGTCGGCGGCGGCGGCGCGGATGGAGCGCGCCAGCTCGGCCAGGTAGCGCTTGAACTCCGTGAGGCACGAGCGCAGCTCCCGCAGCAGCGCGCCCGAGTGCGTGTACCACACGCGCGCCACGCGCGAGGTACAGACGTAAGGTACCTGGGATGCACGAGGCCGAGCGCCATGTCGGCGGCGGCGGCGCGGATGGAGCGCGCCAGCTCGGCCAGGTAGCGCTTGAACTCCGTGAGGCACGAGCGCAGCTCCCGCAGCAGCGCGCCCGAGTGCGTGTACCACACGCGCGCCACGCGCGAGGTACAGACGTAAGGTACCTGGGATGCACGAGGCCGAGCGCCATGTCGGCGGCGGCGGCGCGGATGGAGCGCGCCAGCTCGGCCAGGTAGCGCTTGAACTCCGTGAGGCACGGCAAAACTTCCAGAAGGTCGGGCGACGCCACGGCCACTTTGAACAGTGTTTACTTCTGCAGTTATATTTTATATTTATTCGATTCTAGAATATATTCCCAAAAAGTCTGAAAGGTGTTTTAATTTGTATCACTTGGATATGATTTCTATTAGAAAGTGTTGTGAGTGTGACGCTTGAAGGGAAGGAAGTCAACCTAACCTAACCAACTGCGTATTTCTATACTGTGTAGCTGGAAATTGTGGCGGGAGCTCTTTGACGCGCTGTTTTCGGCGAAGAATTGCGCGCGCAGATTTTGACAGCGCGAAATACCTACTTTAGAAGAAATACCAAGCCTTAAGTTCTATCACCACGTAAGACATTTTTTGCAACGTTTCAGGAGATTGGACGAAACGACGCGTCTTTTGATTCTCTAGCTAGCGAATGTCATCAAAATGTCAAAACCGCCAAAAAATGACTTATGTGGTGATAGAATTAGCAGACGATATGTAAACTAACGAAACTTTACTATATACATGGTTGTGTCGTATATTTACTCCATATTAGTAGTTATTTGTTTGAGGACATCTTGTATAGAAATAACATTTTGAGTCGTTGACTGCTGAGATACTATACATTAGACACAATTTTTTTTTCTTCGAGGCTCACCGGTGAGTCGCTTGGCGTCCCACATGTTAAAAACAAGAGCTTTGCAATCTTATTTATGTATTTTGCATATTTCATTGACGATGATTATGATTCAACTGATGTTAAAGCAAGTCAAGGAAATATTCCGATATATTATACGAAACGAATAAACGAAAGGCTAAATATAGGCTTAAAAGATACGAGTACCCTTCTCTTTCCATCGTCCCTAAGATGCAAGTAACCTCTTAGTGGAAAACATTGACCGGTCAGTGTGAACACCTAAGAAAACCCTCTTATCTGGGTCGCCCTTAACGTGAAGTTTTCCGCCTAATTAAACACGTAATTATGTTAAGCAAAGACGCCTTTGTGACGCTATATTGTTTCCTATTATAAACGTCTTAAGGCACATATTTGATTGTATTATTATGGGGTTTAGTATCGTAGTATCCGATCGTAGTATCATATAAACGGCACCCGTTTCCTTATTTACTTTGATTGCTATTTGACTTTCGGACGTATTATGGCTAATATGAAGCGAGTGCCTTAATAGACGGAACTGACGGAACAGTCAATTGAATTCGATTGTGGAGTTTTATCCTACAAACATTCTATATTGGCCCTATTCGTCCCTTTTATTTATTGTTGCACTGCTATACTGATACTAGTTAACATGGGGATATGATGTAGGTACATGGCTTTTTCATGTGGACAAAAAGTCATCAGCTATCTGATAAGTAAGTCTATTTCCTCTATATTTAAGCTCTAATTTTGATCATCCCTTTACCATCAGGTAAGATTAAGATAAAGCACAGATTCAATTCCTATTCCAACTAAAAAGAACTCAAAAATATTTTTTATCTATGGTTACCAAAACAACTTTCTTACTCATTTTCATTTTGACAAGCTCCACCTGAAAACTAACTCCAAACCTTTGCGACAAGAAAGTTTTCTAAATAGAAAACTGTAGCGTCGACACCTCGAAACTCGAAAATTATGTACAGACGCCAGCACAAATTAAACACTGCATCTTGTGTACTTATAGTAGATGTTATTTTGCAACAAAATCTGTATGTCTTACACTGCAGTTCCCAACAAACTGCCTCTGTGGTCTAATGGTAAGACCATCTGCTTCAGACGCAGAGGTCCCGGGTTCGATTCCCAGTGGGGGCTGATTTTTCTGTTCGGTTTAGCTAGTGATAGGGCTTGCTCTAAGTCCGCCTGGCTAGTTACTACCATCTTGCCTAAGTCTGTCGCCATAACAACAATGTTAACAGCATTGTTGTGTTCCGGCAGTTAGAGGTAAGATAGCCAGTTCTTCCGTGGTTGAGGATTCCGGGTGAAGCTCGCTTCCACCTTCGGCCTGATCATCACTTACCATCAGGTGTGATACAGGCCAAGATCTTCCTCGTTGTGGATAAAAAAAACCGCACACAAAATAAAAGTCAAACACCAGTTCCAGCGTTCCTCTCGTCGCTTGCGCACAAGCAATAACGAATGAGCGTATGAACATCAAACTCCGCCCGTATAACTTGCACTTAGTTCCACGTCTGATGTGCCTAAGCTAATAAACGACAGTTGATGTCGGGGTTTGGCTAACTTCTTTAGTATTTTCCCACAAGGCCTATCCCTGTGACATAGTAAAGGTATAAGACACAGTATGATCAGTGGCCTAATTCACGTATTTTGACAGTCAAGATCTCGCTGACTTTTAGAAGTCGTCCCATTGAAAAACAGTTCTAAATCCGTATTCACAAGGGTCATTTTTATAGAAAGATTACTCGATAGGTTTTTTCGTTAAGTAAGTTTTGTTATGGTGCGTCCACACTGGGCGAACGGGCTCGCGCGGCAAACTCGACATCCTGCTCACTCAAGAGCAGGGTGAGCAAGATGACCAGCAGCGTGCCGCGCAAATCCGTTCGCCCAGTGTGGACGCACCATTACATAAATAAGGATACAGGTTCTACCCAGCTACAGCCACAAATTTTCTGAGGAAAAATCAGCGTTGTCTGTACTTTAAATTAAACGTTTATGCAGTTGTAATAAATGCTATTTTACAATAGTATTTTATTATAGTCCGGTAAGCTCGTTGGTATGTATTTACGTTAACGAGCTATCATATTTAGGTACACACACATAACAATTCATAAAGTAATCGAAACCGCAACTCTTGATACGTGGGAACAGGGGGCGTAGCGTAAGTATACGTCAAACACATTTGATAGCGACTGCGTTTAAAAATATAAGAAGAATTTAGTTCTTAAAAGCTTCCGCTAGGGGCGCTGTACAATCCGTCTTACATTTAATGTCACTTTTTTGCGCAGTAGAAATCGAATGCGTTTGATGTAAACTCACACTACGCCCACAGAATTACGGATGTTACTGTTTTCTTTACTATGTCATGCCTCGAGCATGATTCAAGATTTGGTGTTGGGGAAAGACATTAATTCACAGTTGTGTCAACCTTATTCCAAGGCGATAAGGTTTGTGATAAGCCCTTTTCCATCTTGGCCCTAACAAATCTAGTTCAAGACAAGTCTGTCCCTGTAGTGAACATTAATTACAATCTCCTACAAGCGACCTTCAAGCAAATTGGTATTAGATTTCATATGTTTAAAGTTACGGGCATTAATTGGTGCTACCTTGACATCTAATGGATCAATTAATTATTTAATTATAACTGTCGGTCTACTGCTTTGAAGTGTTATGATAAAGTCAAGAAATATATTTCAACTAGCGGCCGCCCGCGACTTCGTACGCGTGGACCTCGTTTTACCCCCGTTAGATATCGTGTTGATAGATGGCGTTTCACGGCAAGAATATTTACGAATGTCAAAAACAGTAGTTTGTCCAGCGCTGTAGATTTTAACCAATGACGATAGATGGCGCTTTTTAGACGTCTTATTTATTTATTTTAATTTATTTGTCACATATCGTCATAAATTATAACCTATATGTTAATTTGGGTTATAAACAATAATACTGTAAAGTTTCAACAAAATCCGTTCAGTATTTTTTGCGTGAAAGAGTAACAAACATCCAGACATCCAGACATTCAGACATCATGACATCTAGACATCCAAACTTTCGCCTTTATTATATTATATTATACTATATTATAAGTAGGATTACATACTATTTCCATCATTACTACAAGTTATTCATTATATTATTCATATAGAAAAACAATTTCTTAGAAGTAAACTTTTTTGCCCTTATAATCCTGGGTTGTTTGGAAAAGGCAAATCCAGTTTCATAAGTTTGATGAACAGGAATTCTGTTCCCGACATAATCCTCAATACTGGCTTATATTTCAATGCCCATCGAATTTTGAGATATTTCAAATATTGCCTTGGCTTGAAATTAATTCTCCAATTAAAGTTTTGCATTTGGTAAAACTCTGTAAGGGATTCGGTTAAACGAGTTTATAAAGCCAGCTATAAAGCTATGATTCGGTCATTAAAAATATTTCAATTATGTTGCGGGCCTTTTTGGAAGAACTGGCAACTGAGTTTTTAATTTGTTCATAATTTTTATTGACTGTCAATTGATTATTTTTAAAGAAACGGTTGTGTTCTTTGATTTACTTATGTTTTTTTATTCGATCCGATGTTACATGCCATGACGTTTTTTTTCTAAAATATTAGATGAGACACGTTAAAATATGTGAATACAGAAAAAAAATTGCGCATCACTGAAAAAATGAGATGTGGATTTACAGCAGTCATTATTTTATTTGAAAAAAAAAGTGCTGCTCTATGAAATATATTTCTTAACAAACTTCATTATAATGGTTAAATCTTGATGTTCATTTCAAATACAAATATTTTTTCTTTTACAGAAAACTCCATATCCGGCACGCTGAACCCCAAGAAACACCGGCAGCGAAACTACAGGCAAAGCTCGATGCCCAAACTAGGCTTACAAGATGATTATGGTAAGGATAAGAAAATAAACCTATGTAGATTTGGAAGGGCTGTGTTTGAATAAAAACGATATAACGGTTAAGCTGTTATCTCAGTTGTTATACTACCCACGATATGAAAGAAGTGTGTTTTTAGTTAGTTCTTTACATCAGAGTATATACGTAGGTACTTAATCTTTTTTTATACTAGCTTTTGCCCGCGATTTAGTCTTAGAAATATTTTTTTTAACAACTTAGCCTCTGTCCGTAATTTTAACACTGTATTGCACGAAATCAAACTGTATCTTGAAACTGTATCTTTTGGGCCATGAGTATTTTGTTTAATTCAGTTTCTCACAGAACGTATAAATTATAGCCTAATCATCATCATCATTTCAGCCATAGGATGTCCACTTCAGAACCTAGTCCTCCCCCAATGCTTTCCATGTTGATCTGTTGGTAGCGGACTGCGTCCAGCGCTTCCCTGCTACCTTTACGATGTCGTCGGTCCACCTTGTGGGTGGACGTCCCTCCGAACTCGGTCGACGCGGCCTCCATTCCAGAACCTTGCTGTCCCTCGGCCGTCAGTTCTGCTTACTATGCGCCCTGCCCATTGCTACTTCAGCTTGCTAATCCGTCGGGCTATGTCAGCGGTTTTAATTCGTTTACGGATCTGGAATTACATCCTATATAATAATCTTATGTACCTACCTACAATAAAAACATATTAAAGTTTCATGAAAATCCGTTCAGTAGTTTTTTGCGTGAAAGAGAAACTTACATATATCCTCACAAACCACCTCATATGCATTAGTAGAATCTGGTCAGGTGGGGATTCTTGGACGGATTAAACATGGAGTGCAGGTGCGGTTTTGTTCCCCAATCGACGAAGCACCTGATGTCGTGCCCTGAGTTCCCAAGCAACTGCACTCAGTAGGATTTAATAATGAGTGCTGCTGACAACGCCACTCTTGTGGCGGAGTTTTGGGCTGATGCTGTGTAGGTTTGTTGTCGACACGAAAAGAAGAAGAAGAATGCTTCGTTTTTTATTACCACTTTAGCGTTATGATGTTTACTAGTACTTATGGGCGCTTTCTTTGATCTAGTTACAAGGGAATAATATACAGGGTGGAAACGATAAGTGATCTCACTCGATTATTTCTAAACTATCCAAGATANGCGAACTCGCGCGCCGCCAGCTCCACCAGGCTGCGCTCGCCGCGGCCCAGGTCGGCGCGCAGCTCCACGCTCACCTGGCACACCTCGAACCGCACTGCCACAACAACAGACGCTTATGAGCACATAGGCAAAGTACATTCTTGCTTGCAAGTGTTCATATTTTTTTCATTCACAGCGAGGTAACCCTTGGCCAGCATCTCACCTGGTGAATGAATCCAGCAGACTATAGTATTCCTGGCATGCTACTGACCTACAAGGTGAGTGAAACGGCGCGCGTGGTGCGGCGCGGGCGAGGCGAGCGTGCTGCGAGCGGGCGCAGCGGGAGCAGCCAGCGCCGCAGCGCGCAGGGCCGGGTCTAGTTGCAACGTCGGCACCGCCGGCTCTAGCAGGGCGCCTACACCCGCTACCGCCTGTAAATACATTTTTATTCAATATCCAAATATTTTTAAATACACAAAATGAAACAAATGAAACTTTTCGTTACCTGCGCGTATGTCATATGTCCGTCGGTGACGTCAGCAGCGCGGGCGTCGCTGGGCGGGCGGTGGTGGGCCGTGGTGATCCACTTCACGGTGTCCAGCACCTGCTCGTACTGCTCCCGCCGCGCGGTCACGTGGAGCCCGCCCACCACTGCGCCGCTTACTTCACACTACATTATACAACCCATGGAATAATAAAACGTTTCCGATAAGTTAGAACGATGAATACATAATTAAAAATGTCTATATGTATGTTATGTACCTATGTATAAAGCGGTGGCTGGCAACCCAGACACAGACACCGGTCTTGACGTTTTCGGTGACAGCCTCCCTAAATTTAAGTCAAAACTCAAGCCTGTATTCGGAACGACTTAGGCACCGAACAAAATGAACAATTACTAAATCCTTTATATTGTTCGGTGCTTAAACTCTAAACTCTATTCAATTGATTTTTGTTTTTACTAGTGTATAATTACCCTAACATTGTAAAAAGAAATGCTGTGTATACCTGTAATTGAGGTCATATACGTATCATGTGTTAAACCATGTTAAAATGTATGAACTGTATTATGTATGTGACTTTGTTGGTGTACCTAATAAATAAATAAATAAATAATAAATGTACCTGATGCAAACCATCTTCACCCTCGTTGTAGTTGATAGACACCTGCAGCGCTGTGTTGTGTAAAACCGGTTGTCCATTGGACACGTCGTAGATCTCGGCCATGTTTTCCGCCGTCAAACTGAGCGCCTTCAATTTCTCGCCCACATCAACCTGAAGAAAGATACCATTAGTATCTAATAGTTTCAGGTCAAAAGAAAATACTAATATTCTTAGATTAATAAAACCTAGATGGATAGTCTTAATACAAACGCTTCGTCAAGAGTGAGGCAAAAATCTTATGTCATTAGTGTCAATTTTGTTGGGGAGTGTAGACAGTGAAGGCGATTTTCCCGAAAGTAGGGAAATTTTTAATACGTTTTTAATTATTTTATAACTAACAAAAAAAAAACGCATCATGTACTTACTTATTTATTGAATTCAAAGTACCTACCTAATTACAATAAGATAAATCGACTNTTATAATTAACGAAAACAAAACGCATCATTTACTTACTTATTTATTGAATTCAAAGTACCTACCTAATTACAATAAGATAAATCGACTTAAAACGGTACGGCGAACAATTGGGAAATAAATTTTCTTGTTACTGGTATCATTCCCGTATTTAATTTTTGAAAGCCAAATTCAAGCAAAATACGCGTCGAATCGTAGTACTTACTTATGAAATGTAACACTGGTCACTTTCTTTAGTTTTTCTGATGTATTTAGACACCCTTTCACAGTACAAACCGTCTTAATTAATTAAAAGTCGTCGGACGTGTTTACCAATTTTTCACTTTGACAGTTCATGTGACGTTTACGAGTAAGCCATTCTGGCTCACTAAAATCTGCCTCACCTTTCGTGCACTGACTATCTATCTAGGTTTTATTAATCTAAGGGTACAAATAAATTTTTCTTTATTGGAAATTTTCATAAAATGTCCCTGTAATGTTAACTGGTCATTCTAGCAATATTACCGACATTACCGTGCCTTAATATTTTAATTAAAATGTGATGTACTGCTAACTCTATTTTTTTTAATGGTGGGTTATCCAATGTTCATTGGTTTTTACATTTGAAATTTTCGAAGTAAGTGAGATAAAATCTATAACTATCTAGCTTATGACTATGTAGAGTTAACAGCACACAAACTATAGGTACTGGTTTTATTACAAAAAACTTAAACAGACGTTAAAAATGTGTTACCCTTACTAACCGTAACTTAATGTCCCATATTTTTTATGCAAACTGCTCCCAACTAAAGTAACTTTAGGGCTCGCGTGCACGGGTGACTTTTGTCACCGTGACTTTTTTGAAATCCATAGAGATGTAGGAAGGAGGTAGTAGACTATGCCAGAGTGCCTACTATTCGTTAACCTTTGTTTGTCACCTGTCATCCGCTTTGCAATGGAGGGAAGTCGAATCTTAACTTCGAACTCCTCCTATGATTTTGTGATTAATTTCGTTGCGGGTCCAATGACAGTTTAACTTTGCCCCGAGTCAAACTTGACCTTCACTGGTTGGGTTTTATTGGCGGTCAAGCTGTAGATCCTGGCTACACAGGAGTTGCAGCGGTGAGAACGAGAGATGGGGATAGTCCTGTACTTTGCGCTATAGCTGCGACATCCTACGGCTGCCACCTTCGTCCTTTCGAACTTTATTGACATATTTTTCATTTTTTTTTGTCCAACAGACAGCCAACAAAACTACATGAGCCTGGGCGTGTGTCGGACGGAGTCTCTGAACATACAGCTCGAGGTGCCTCCAGGACAGAGCAGCGGGCTGGCAGTGCATGAGGACAATGCTGCGCTGGTGATATCGCATGTCGCTGCGCAGTCGCCGGCTTACAGGTGAAAATTAGCTTTGTTTACCTATTAAGTACCATGGCTAAGAACTAATCAGGGTTCCAATGATTACGCCTTTTCAGAGACTACTTATGCCATGTTATTATACATTTTTAAATTTGGATGTACGAGTAATGTGTTCACGTGTGCACATTTTACTCATAACCTTTCAATACAATGTAGAGCGAATGAAACTGTAGGGTGCAAATTATTTTTAGGTCATAGACGATACAATTTAAGAATACGCCGGTCTTTCGAAATAAAGATGAAAAACTGTTTGCCGATAGATTTCTTTTCTTTATTGCCAAAACTGATACAACATAAAGTATGTTGCATAAGATCGCCTCCTTGGTCGCGTGACACTGGCCACCAAGAAAAGCATTTTTTGTCGACGATCAATATCGATATTCTTTTTTTTTTCTCTCGCTGTCAACTTACTGATTTTCATGTACTTTTTCCACGACTTGATTTGTAATTTGTGAAAAATAATAATTATCACAATTTTTACCTCATACCTACGCGGAAAATAAATTAAGTACATATTATAATTACGACAAGTACTTCGAAGCATAAGATTAGGCCCGTCGAGCCACTACAAAATAATTATTATTTTCAATTTTACAGCAATGGCGTGAGTCAATAAGGAACTCCGCTCTCAATTACGTTTTCGAATTGATTTCGACTCGAATACAAGTTGAAGTGCCCTCGGTGTTCCAATTAGAAATAATTATTGCTATTTCAGATCCGGCTGTCTACAAATAAGGGACAGAGTTATGTCAATCAACGGCCATGAAAACCTGACTGTTGATGTTGCTAATGAAATTTTGCAAAGGCGGAACGATTCGCACAACCCAAAGTACTTGACTCTGAACGTTGAGTTCAGTATGCCGAACACTATAGAGGCGTCGAGTGGCGTGTTCAATGTTAAATTGGCGAAGACGACTGCGGGGCTCGGTGTTACTATTACAGGTAAGTATCTAATGTCAATTATTATGTACATGCGCAGACCACCGATTTTCAGTTGGCCGATAGTTGGGCCCGATTTTAATTTGTATGAAGAATCGGCCAAATATAATCGGTGTGATGTGCGCACTTCCATACCTACATGCCCATTCGGCTGACGCAAAATCGATGGTCTGCGCCTGGGCTTATAATGTCTATGAACAATCTGTAAGTCTAGGATTTTATCGATTTACGCGATAAACTCATACATTTGTCGAGTAATATCATCGACAAGATTTTTTCATAGCGCGTACCCTGGCCGACGTGAAATCATTTAGGGAGGCCTATGTCTTGTGTCTGTAATGAGGATGATGATAATGAAATATGAACAACTTTATGGGATTTACTATTACAAATAAAAGTTTAATAATAATTGAGTTCAAATTGAAATTTCATTGAAAAAATCTGTCATTTAGATCTGGCTCTACCTAACATGTTGATGTCGGTTAATCTAATCTCATTTTATAAGTCGTATTTAATATGGTACACCCTATGTTACATTTTACTTATCACTTTGAAGACTATTTACTTAAGTCTAAATGAGGTGTAATCGATTTGTAATGTATACTTCCTTTCGTCATTTCTGTGCTATCTTTGTGCAACAAACTTTTAATTAATAAATGTTATTTTAGGCTGCAAACAAAAACTGCTCAGCAACGAAGAGCCGATGGTGATATCAGACATCAAGCCAGGGTCGGTGGCGCACCGGAGCGGAGCCTTGGCGCCGGGAGACCAGCTCTTAGCCATCAATGGTCAACCGTTACATAATCTGTCTTTGGTAAGATTCAGCTTAGCACTTGTTTTCAGCCTTATGTCGTTTAACTTACAACAAACAATAACAATACAAAAAATGTTGCATTTAAGCACCAGAATCACCCTTTTCAGATCAAATAGATTTTTTTTGCATGATTTATTTAGATTCCGTGTTTTACAAATTTAACCTTTCAAGACTTTTGAACAAAAGTGTTTGTCTAGATTTTTTTAAACCGATCAAACCCGGTCACATAAAGACCGCGTAACAATTGATTTCTTTTGTTTCGATTCGCAGAACTTGAGGGGTTAATAAAAAACTGGATAGGTACAGTCGCGGAATGAAAAGGTTCGTCACCTTAGTGTCGGTTTTCGCTTGCAATAAGTACTGTAAGAGTCAAACCTGCCAACATAATAACAGTGCAAGAAACAGTGCTGTTAACATTTAAATAAATATGACGTTTGCTAACGAATGAGGTTTTGCTTGTTTAATTTTCTATCCCATGCAATGTTACAAAATGTAGTTTTTTTATTTAATAGAAATAATAATAGCAGGTTGAACCAACAAGAAGGTTTTAGTTTATCAATCATAATAATCTTGGTAAGATAAATCGTCAAACAACTTTGATCTGAATAATTTTGAACTTTACTGACGAACAGTTAAAGATTATTTTCCCTAACTCGAGATTATTCTGTAACATAGTTTCAAAAGGTAATATGTGCTCGTGATTCGTTGAAGGAATCAATTTAAAAACTGACGAACCTTTTCATTCCGTGACTGTACAATATAAAGTTTCAAAACCGCCTTGGTCCTAAGAATTATTAACAATTACTTGAAATTCCAGGACACCGCCTTCAACATTCTACAAAATTCTCCAGAAGATATCATCACTCTAAAAATTCGGAAGCGCGACTTAACCGAAGACTGGTCCAACATCCACAAGCATAACGCAAAGTTGACGTTACAGAGTTTTAGTAATATCGAAATAAAGGCTGTCGTTCATAGCGAGGTTGACTCTGGTCATCACACAGAGAGTCCTAATAATAGTGCTAAAGAAAGCGAAAGAAGTCATGGCAGTGAGAATGGAAATACAGCAGTGTTTACAGTGGAACTGATCAAGCAAGAAAATGGGCCTTTGGGATTGACTATAGCGGGGAGTGAGGATGTTACGCAGCCAATTTTGCTAAGCGGGCTCGTTGAAGGTAAATTTTTAAGCACTTTTGTAACGTTTTTGTTTGGACTTTGTAAATTTTGGTTTTTGTTTTTGTTGAAATAAACTTTCAACTTTCTTAGTAATACTCGTAAGATCATTATTTCATGGGTTTAGTCAATCAAATTGGTAAAGAATTTTGATTATCATTGGCTCGTACTAAGGAACTTTTTACTTTACTCAATCTTTTTGAGCACGACTGTTCATTTTCTGTCGTATAGCTAATCCGTCGAATCACAGAATCTGCCGAATTCACGAATCCGTCCAATCCAGTATCTGCCGAATCCACGAATCTGTCCAATCCCAGAATCTGTCCTATACCGAACAAAGGGTACTAACGACTGCCTGGCCTAGCGATTCATGTACCGGACTGCTATATACCAAACTTAACTTGAGATTTGACGACGCAATCTAAATTTTTTTTACATAAACCAAAATTTTTCAGGGGGAGTAGCAGAGAAATGTGGCAAGCTTGCTATAGGAGATGAACTATTGACAATTAACGGTGAAAGTGTACTCAATAAACCTCTGTCAGAAGCGATCAAGCTCCTGCAATCGAGTGGTCAAAGAGTGCAATTACAGCTGTGCAGGAAAGTCACAGGTTTGTTTTCAGATCCAAGACTAGGTATATACTGATATCAGTAGAGTAAGAATTAGGTGATGTAGAACAGAATAATGAAAAAAGGCCAATCAATAAGGTTAATAGTTTGTTGATAAGACTCAATTTGTATTTTGTGATGGATAGAAATATTGAGGATACTTATAGACGCGTTAATATCCAATAGACACCTTCTGTAGCCGCATGCATTTTAGTAAATTTGGAAACTTGGATCCAACTATACTGATATTTTTGGTGATCCAGGTTCAATAGAGAGTGGCGAGTGCAGCGCAAGAGACTCAAGTCATTCCACGTCAAGTCCAGGACTCTCTAACGACAGCGCTGTTGAGTCCTGGGATCAGAACACGCCAGTCAGAACTAGCACCAATTGTGGTATGTATGCAAAATACTTTACACAACACTCATACATACACAACCTTAACATTAAGTCTTTAATTTATGCACTTTTTAACTCTGATACACTTACACGAGTTACAATACAATACATATGACACTTTCCGAAAATTCTGTTATTTCACTTGCAGCTATTTTTACACAACCATTAATTCCAGGTAATTCCGAAGTAATAGAATACGCAGTTCCAGATAAAACTCGAATAGCGGAAAAGCAAATATATTCTCCTACTGACGAAGACAAACTCATGGCTTCCAACTTCAACTCGGCCGCTCCGTACAGCGTCAACGATCTACCTCTACCAAACTACTCATTGAACAACTCGCTCAAAACGTTCCATTACGAGAACACGTGTATCATTCCCGATAGTACATTAAAGAATAAACAGAATATAACGAGAGAGGACGATGTCCAGCAAATAGAGATCCTAACCTCAAACATGAAGGATTGTCAGCTGCATAACATGGAGCGAGCGTCTTGCAAATGTGATTATGTGCAGATGGGTCCTTATGGAATGGTCTCTCCGAAGACCAGGAGACCGAATTGGGACAACGATTACTTGAACAATGGGATATACACGGTGACGACCCCACAAAAGTCGCCGCATAAGCCTCCCATGCCGGGAACTAGTTTTCAGTTCTCCACCAGTCCTATTTATGAGAATGAGGTCCCAGGTAAGTATCAACGAGTAGCTTATCGTACGAAAAGTAAAACAGTATTTTTATCTTTAGGTGACACTAGAAAAAGAAAAGCTTTCATAAAGTAACAAAAGTCAAAAAAGCAATTTACTTTTTGCAAAAAGCTTTTATACAGCTTTCACAATCTGTACCTGTGACTAAGTGTCACCTTTCTCAATTTGCGTGTGTCTTTTCACTTAGGTAGCGGGCGGCACTTTATATTATGATTTTCATGGATAGGGAACAAAAATTAAAGCTTTCAGAATAGGGATGTTTCCTGGAACAACGATTACTTGAATAAGTCGCCGCATAAACCCCTCTTGCCGGGAACTAGTTTTCAGTTTTCCACCATCTTGAGCAAGAGTTTTAATTAGTCCGTCAGTTAACATATCAAAAAATACTCGACACGTATTTTTTTCTTTTTCAAACTAATGAAATATTAAAGAGATAAAGCGCGCCAAAGTTCAAAAGAAGAGTGCCGTGACGTCAATGAGTGCTTAAAAGTGCAGCACTTTGGAACTTCAACGCACCATAACTGTGTTATTATTTGTTTGATTCACAATTAAACATATACGTGTCCAATATTTTATGATATTAAAATTGACGGACTAAATACTTTTTTTAGGAAACTAGCCTATTCTTCCTAATCTCCTTTTCCAGGTCTTTACAGCAGCGAAACGGTATCGCCCGCTCGTGGTTCCGTCCATCACGTGATCCTATACAAGGATGCCATATACGACGACTATGGGTTCTCTGTGTCAGATGGATTGTACGAGAGAGGCGTGTACATCAATAGGATCAGGAAAGGTGGTCCGGCTGACATAGTCGGTCTGCTCAGGCCTTATGATAGGATATTGCAGGTAAATTACTTTTACTCATCCCAACACAATTTTTGAAACTGTATTTTATAGTCAAGTAGTTTCAGGTGTTGAGAGGAGCAGCAAATACTACTTAAACCTTACTGTCAACTTCTTTTTAATAGCTTTACAATTTAATTTACAAGAAATATTATGTATAAGTATTCGATGTTAATCAAAACATTCGAGTTATGATGCAAGCAGTACCGACCCACAAATACAATGCGTCCAGCATTCTGTTCCACCCGTATTCTCAAACATTACTATGAGGTCTCACAGTGCGCGTGGCCACACGAAACAATCACAATCACAGCTCTGTTCAAAGTTAAAAAAAAAAATTATTCAAACAAACAAGTCACATAACAAAGTTTTGGATCTAATCCTTTTAAGTTTTATCAACTTGTGTTAGGATCAGACCGCTCTGTCTAAATACAATAATGAAAACAGACTCGTTGAAATGACGTTAAATGTTACTTAAATATGTTACTAAAGTTAGTGTTATATGTGAGAAGTAGAATTAAATAGACATATAAGTTCGATTTGCTACTTCTCTTAAGCAAGCATCGTTTATGAATACGGGCATTAGTTTTAATTAAATTATTTAACTTCTGAGCGCTTGCACACTTAAAAGAGACTCAGACTAAGGCAAGGGCTTTGACACGGACACTGATAAACTTTTTTTTTTTTATTGGTCTGCCAACAATTGTACAATAATACTTGTATTATATTACTAAATTCTAACTTAATTTCTAATTGTACAATATATAAAATGGGCAAACACAGCATGCATAATGAAAGTAATACTAGGTATGTTACTGTAGACATTAATCTACTAATTTGATTTGAGGTCCGTAGTATTAGGAAAGTGCCCCTAGTTGTGACTGTACGCATTTGATAAGTGACGCACTTATACATTTTATGAATTTGACCAGGTGAACGGAACCAGAACAGTGGACTACGACTGCTGCCTGACAGTGCCACTCATAGCGTCCGCGGGCGACCGGCTCGAGATAGTCGTGCAGAGGCTGGCCACTTCCAGGGTAAGTTTATTTGGACCGAGGCTACTCAAACTTTTGAAGAGTCGGGCCAAACGGTGGATTCAGTCGTTAACGACGGGCCACTTATGATCCCTATTTCAGTTACTGTATTTTTTGAATTTGGTGCGTATTTTAAGTCTTTCGCAGGCCACACTGTGGCCCGCGGGCCTGGGGTTAGAAATAGTTGGTAGTAGTTACTTGGCCGCGTGGCCTGGCCGCCTAATGCGCGGGGGACAAAGCCTTCTAATATGGAATTCTGACCATATCTACCATCATGAAATCTATCATACATTTTGGGCTAGTTCGATATAAGTAAGGCTTGTGACTGGAAAATTTAACTTTTTATCTATAAATTGCTTCATCTATAAATGACTCAGACAAAATGCTATCGTCACACATATTGATTGCTCTCATCAAAATCGAAAATTCAAAACTGCTGGCTTTCAAGTTTTTTATTTTATTNACGCGCACCACCGCCTCCACCACTGCGAGCCGACAACAAACCGATATAAAAGCCTTTCAACAACATTATAATAATAATAACATATCTACTATAGTCTGGTCCGGGAGCACGTAGAATTTTGTCCAATGACCCCAAGCTACCCATCCTTATCGCTCGCGCGTAATTATATTGCTGTCGCGACTGTGAGACGGGCGCCCGCAGTGAGTGTGTGAGCGTGACAGTAACATAATTACGCGCGAGCGATAAGGATGGATAGCTTGGGGTCAGTGGACAAAATTCTACGTGCTCCCGGACCAGACTATCCTCGGTTTAAGTTTTTATCCTCGGACATATCGTCATTTAACGCTGTTATGCTTGGCTGAGGCCCGCATAACAAATGTAATAACCCATCTTAAAAAGGTGGAGGAATGATCCGAAAAATAAATACTAATAATAAATACTTTTAATTGCACACCAAATAACAGAACAGAAAGAAAAGGAACACAACATTGTGACACTTTGTGCTAGAAGTTAGTTCGTTTCAGTCAAATAATGTAACACAGCTGGACAAAAGTCTCCCCCAAGGATTTCCACAATGACCGGTCCTGTGCCGCCCGTATCCAGGTGTCTTCCGCGACCTTCAACAGATCATCGGTCCACCTATTGTGGTAGAAGGTGATGCTGCAATTATTTTGCCATGCGGTGTTTGCGAGTCGACCACTACTTGTCGCAAGTAAATTATTTGTCATAATTCTATATTTCTAGCATTTATTTCTGATCTATTATATGAAAAGGTTAGGATTACATCCTCCAGCGTTCTCGATTAGTAAAATTTATTAATCAAAACTTGGCGAGTAGTGCATTGTCTTACCATATTTGAACATGAACATATTTGTTTGTATTGGACTGGGTGTTTTCTATGTACAATAATATGTATGTATTTACAAAAAAAAAAGTATTTAAGTATGTTTATATCCGTTGTCTAGTACCCATAGTACAAGCTTTGCTTAGTTTGGGACTAGAAGCGCAGTGTAAAATGTCCAAGGATATTTATTTATTTACCGGGTGCGTCGTCGCCGGCGGCGGGCTGCAGCTTGCGCGCGATGGTGAAGAACAGCGCCTTCTCGTCGTCCAGCGGCGGCGCGGGCGCGCGGCCCGGCGGCGGCAGGCGGCCCGCCGACACGACCCGCGCGTGCAGCCCCGCCTCGCACAGCGACACCACCTGCACGCCGCCCAGCGACCCGCCCACCTCGATGCTCGCCGCGTCTGCACAACAAAATAATTTCAATGTTCTTTACACCGCAAGCGAATTGCACATTTGCCACTTTGCACATTTGTCAAAATTTTAAGATTGACACTTGCAGCTGGATTTAAAATAAACTTCTTTGTGTCTTGTTACAATTATCTTCTTTCTAAAGCCTGGTCTGTGAACACGTAGAATTTTATTTATTTATTTATTTAATTAGGACAACCAACAAGACAGACACAAATTCAAGCAAAGGGGTTTACATACATAATTTTGTCTTAGGACTAGGTGCTATCTTAATTACAGGCTGCCACGGCATGCAAAAGTGGACTTTGACAGAATATTAAACTTAAACGTACAGCTGATTTTGACACAATATTCAATTTAATTTAATTTATTTCCATTCTGAACAATTTTAAACCTCAAATTTAACTGGCAGATCTTGGCTAAACGGACACATGTGCAAATGAGAGTTGTATTTTTTTCTTAAATTTCCCCAGCGAGTCAGAAAAGATATCTATATCTCCCTCCTTACTGCACCTATTATATTGCCTCTGAAGCCTATTCATGGTGGCATGATGACCCAGGTTGCTTTTGGAACCCTGCACTAAAAAGGGTACGTATCTTGCGCGTCGAGGTAACTTGAAAGGGGCATTTAGGTTGATGGATTCCAACAACTTTGGACAGTCCACCACGCCGTTTATGATCTTGTGCAGAAGTATCTGATCCAAGAGTTGTCTGCGATCTTGCAAGCTGTGCAGTCCGAAATGAGCCAAACGTTCCCCATACTTCGGAAGACTCCTGGCCTTCCCGGTCTGATATGAGAAATGCCACATGAACCGCTTCTGGATGCGCTCAATTCGCTTCACATGAACATCATAGTGAGGAGACCAAACCTGACTACAGTACTCAAGACCTGAACGAACAAGAGTCACGTACAGCAGTATTTTAGAGGAAGACTTTTTAAATTCCTTTGCGTTTCGCAATACAAAACCAAGCATCCTAAACCCTCTTGTGACGACATGATCGATATGCTTGTGAAAGCGCAGGTTCTTATCCATAATGACCCCCAGGTCGCGAATCGACTCCACTTCCTGCAAAATTTGCCCGTTGACACTGTATACCGGCGATGGACTTTCCCTACCTCTCGTGAAACGAATAAATTTACATTTCTCCGTGTTTAGGTACAATTTATTTAAACTACACCACTGAGACAACCTATCAAGATCTTTTTGCAAAAGATGTGAGTCGCTAACATCTTTGATCTGCATACAGAGTTTCATGTCGTCTGCATAAAGGAAGCAAGAGGCATGGTCGAACACTGTAGTCATGTCGTTTACAAATATATTAAAGAGTATTGGCCCAAGATGCGAACCCTGCGGCACTCCTGAAGTAGCATGAAACGACTCCGATGAGAAACCTCTCATGACGACTCTTGACTCCCGCTGTCCGAGATATGATTCAAACCATCCCGTCGAATGACCCCAAGCTATCTATCCCTATCGCTCGCGCGTAATTATGTTACTGTCGCGACTGTGCGACGGGCGCCCGCAGTGAGTGTGCGAGCTTTTTTTTTTTTTTGCGTCGGGAAATGCTTTGCGCATGCCCACTGGCTGATGGGGACAGTCAGTCAGCGGGTTATGTGGGACTCTCCCCGCCGGGAGGGCGGGGCATACCCACTAAAACCCGACGGTGTCCTCCGGGGCCATTGATCCGAAGCCGCGAGTTATTGTCCTATTGGACATTCGTCCGCGGCTCCGGTTCAGGCTACAGCTCGCTCTTGGGCGAGCCCCTCCAGCTTCAAGGGGAATAGTGATTCCTCTCGGGTCGTCCGCTAACGGCGCACTGGACACTGGTGCGCCGGCGCCACGGGTCTCGTAAGGCGCCCGCCGGGCATCCCCATACCCAGCGGAGAGTGTGCGAGCTAACCTAACCTAACCAAGCAGTAATGTGTGCAAAAAATGTTTACAATAACTGTAATTTTGCGAAACCTATAATATAAATGATGCAATAAACATTTAACACTATGACTACAATGCATTGTTGGTGCAATTTTGGACGACGACAGCGGTGTCCTTCGTCTGAAAAATGATGGTTTATATGTTTTAAACATCGTAAAGTTTAGAAGATTATGCAATGCGTACCCAGCGTGGCCTGTATCTTGGCCTCGGCGACGGTGGCGGTGGCGATCTTGCGCGCCACCAGCGCGCCGTCCAGCACGGCGGCCCGCAGCAGCAGCACGCCCAGCCGGTGGAAGTCGAACGTGATCTCCGTTCGGACCGACTTCTGATGATAAAAACAAAGAATCTATTATATTTTTCGCCCAATCAAAATAAAACTCCCTTTTTGAATCTTTGTGAACAAAAAAAATCCAACAAAATAAAATACATTGATTTGTATACCCACCAGCCGCGGGGGCAGCTAGTGGGTTATGTGGGATTCTTCCTGCCAGAAGAGCAGTAGTAGTACCCACTAAAAACCTGACGTTGCCCTCGGTAGCCCATATAAGTCGGGAACGGGGGACATCACTATCGACGTTTTGCCTCAAGCATTCGTCCACGCGTTCCTTGCTCGGCATGTCTCTCGCTTAGTGCACAGTCTCAAACCAAGGAAAAAAACTCGTCCCAATTTTGTCCAACCACCACCCGCGAGCCATACACGCACAGGTTGAGTCAGGAGATCATCATCAACCTTTAATTTTGTACAATACCTTGACCTCCTCCTCCGGTTCCTGGTCGTCGCTGGGCGAGGGCAGGCCGTCGGCGGCGTCGGTGTCGGCGGGCGGCGGCGCCAGGCCGGCGTCCGACGTCTTCTTCGCGCCCGCCGGGCCCATCACGCGCTGCGCGAACCCTATCAGTTCTACTATCGTTTCTTGGTTTGCTGTAGGGAAACAATAAAATAGTATAAAGTAGGTGTACCAAGATTGTATTTAAAGTTATTAAATCCATTATTAATAAACATAAAGACACTTACCAATAATATCTAAATTGTTAAAAAGTATATTGGCAATGTGGAGATCTTCGGAGTCGCCCTCGCCCTTCACAAAGCACAGCTCGACTGCGATCAGTGCTTCGGAGTCGACGATTCCCGGGGCGGCCCAGCCGGGCCCGCTGGAGCCCCACCCGGGGCCCGTGGCGCCCCAGCCGGTGGGTGCCGCGCCGCACGCGGGCGCCGCGGAGCTGGGGGCAGCGGTCGGGCCCGCGGCCGAGCCCGGCGGGGAGCCGATGCTCCACGTGCTGCCGGACGACCAGTTTGGCAGCGGGCTAGTGCGCTCAACGTCGGGATACGCTGCAGAAACAAAATGTTCGAATCATCATAAAAAAACAATGGATATCAACAACAATGTCTGTAACTTTTACTGGCTGGTTTGCACTTACGGTATGCCGTGGTGCCAGCCATACCGCTGGAGCTGGTGGCGCGGTGCAGCGAGTCGAGCGCGTTGCGCAGCGCGTGCGGCGGCGGGTGCGGGCGCGGCGGCATCAGGCGTGGGTCAGGAGACGCGGGCGATGTAGGTGATGTGGGTGACGTCGGTTCTGAGCCCAGAATGCTGCCCGATGCACCATCCATGCTGGAGGAAAAATATACTTTAGTCTAAAGTAAAACAACACGCAGGAGACCTTTCTGCGATCAATTTGTATACCAGCGGTACATTACGGCCATAGCAATTTGCACTATTATTGATCTTATAACAAAGTTCGACTTCCTAGGCACGAATATCTCGACGTGAACCAAAGTTAGCCGAGAGTGTAGTCAGACGCTTCGTGTTCAACTTCTGAGCATTTCGAGCCCTTGAGACTCGGACGCAATTACCAACAATTTTCTGAAGTTAGGCGAGGTGAAACCACGTAAAACGTGTGTCTACACTATTTCAAAAAAATTCGCGAGTAATGTAGCGCCAGCAGTAGTCAGTCATATCGGTTGGAGTATAGGAAACGGGGCGCTAAGGGACACGAGACTTAGAAAAATTTTTATGAAAAAATTTTTTATTTTTTTTATTTTTGGCTTTTTTTGCCGGGAATCTTCATCTAATCATCCGGCAACAGTTGTGCGTTACCCCAGGTGCTTGTGGCTGGCGAGCAGCAGCTCGAAGTCGGGCCCGTAGGTCTGCAGCGCGTCGACGAGCAGCAGCGAGTGCACGGACAGCGCCAGCGACACGTCGGCCGGCCGCGCCGCCAGCGCCGCGCGCACGCCGCACACCTGCACCTCCGCGATGCTGCGCCCGCGCGACTGCACCTGCGCACAAACACACGACACCTCACTGACTCACGAACTTTAGCCGGCTAACTTCGCATAGGAGGAGAACCAGCTAGAATAGCCAAGCATCAGGTGCCACTATGTGATCGTCGCTGTCCCAGAAGGAGTTCCAGTCACACCATAGAGACATAGACAAAGAATAAAGAATATGTAGAGGGCGGAGAAGTGTAGTGCGGTCGAACAACCTGCCAAGGTAGACGCCCCACCTCCCGTGATCGGCTAGGTATAATCAAAAGGTTTCCATGTTGATAACCGAAAAGTTCGTTCGTTTCAGCCGAAAGTCGTCCACTGCTGGACAAAGGCCTCCCCCAAGGATTTCCACGAAGACCAATCCTGCGCCTCTCGTATCCAGGCACCTCCCACGACCTTCACCAGATCGTCAGTGGGCGGGGCACATAGCTCATAGAGTTGAGGGCCGATGGGGCAGGAAAGTTCTTGAGTGGCGACCACGAGCCGGAAGACGTAGCGTGGGCAGGCCTCCCACTAGGTGAACCGAAAAGTACGGCTATGGAAATGTGGAGGGATACTTCACAAAGTCGGTAATGTTCTAGCATTCTCTTCCCCGCGTAATCTCCACCCACTCATGAACAAACAAGGGTTGTACCTCCAGCGACATTTGCTCGATGGCGAACTGCAGCATGAAGAGAGAGGAGCTCTGCTGCGCGGACGCCGACGATAGCTCCGCTTCTGACGCCTCACTACAATCCTCTTCCTCCGTCGTTTCAGTGCGAGGTTTTTCGCTGCTCTCACGATACCTATTATCACGAACAAAGTTATAAATATAAAACACACGTTTGCAAATATCCCGCAGTAGATGAGTGTGAACTGATGACGTCGGTGTTTTTAATTGGTGCCTTGTGTGGTACGTACGGCGCGACGGGCGCGTTGAGCACGGCGCGCACGGCGGCCAGCTTGTGCTCGCTGAGGTGCACCTGCAGCGCGGGCAGCGAGCCGCACAGCGTCGCCGTCGGGTACTGCGGATCGTTCGTAGCTACCACTCGCCGTTCCGCCTGAAAGTTATTTTTTTCATGTTATAATAATCAACAGATTAATTGTATTTTTCTTCGCTAGACTTATGTTACATCAAAGCAGGCGTGGGACATGCCATAACGTACTGAGGACGTGTGTTTAAAAGACAGTCACAGTTGACGGCAAGAGATAAGAAGGTCTATAACCACGGCTCATTACCCCCCTATCCGTCCCCCGGACACGGCCTGAGCCGAGGTCCGAGCCTACCGTGGCGCCCTCAGGCCGCGTCCGTAGTCCCCTCGATCGGGCCCACTAGAGTGAGCCCGCCGTAGGCTGGACTTTGGTCCAACACCGCGGTGGGCAACCCTCTTGTTGGGTTCGCCACTGATCGGGCGCCTTATGCGCTCGATACGGCCCGCTTACGCTTCGCTTCGCGAATCCCACACTCGGCCTCGTCGGCACGCGCACCGACGATCGCCAAACGGCTAGAGTACCTTCTGTACTCGCCACTCAGCCCGCTGAAGCTGGAAAAGCTCCTCAAGCAACCAGCGCGCGTCCCTTAAAAAAAAAAAGGCTCATTACCTGAAGCGAGATGCTGAACCGATCCAGCAGATGCAGCGTGGAAGTGGGCTTGGTGTGCGCATACTTCCAGTTGTCGCGCGCGCGCCCCACCAGGATCTGCAGGTCGCTCAGCTCGATGTTATACCTGCACGATAATTTACGTAATAAACTTTTTATGTCAGTTGTACACTCTCGCCAAAGTCTCGTCTGAGAGCTCTCAGCCAGACTCATCCCAATGTTTATTTATTTATTTATTAGTTACACCAACAAAGTCACATAAATACAGTTCATACATCCTTCTTAATACATATAACATTATAAATGCGAAAGTTTGGATGTCTGTATGTCTGAATGGGTGTTTGTTCTCTCTTTCACGCAAAAACTACTGAACGGATTTTGATGAAACTTTACACTATAATCGTTTATCCAGAATAACATAAAGGCTATAATTTATGACGATTTGTGACAAACTAAATTCCACGCGGGTGAAGCCGCGGGCAAAAGCTAGTTAATTATGTTTCGCAAAACAGCCGCATGTGCCAACACAGGAGCGAAAGCGAGCGAGCAATAACGAGACACCCCGAGAGGTAGCGACAGCTCCCTTGTACACTCTCGCACTCGACCTGTCTCGGCACGTCATCGTCTAAGCCACGCCCACTGACGTCACTCACCTGTCGTACAACCTCGTATGCAGGTGCGCGGCGTCAAGCGGCGCGTGGTAGGGCTGCGCCTCGGGCGGCGAGCCCGGCGACAGCAGGCTGCCCGGCGGCGTCGAGCACGGCGTCATGAACATCTCCGTCGGAGTCACGTCGCCTGGACAACAATACGATTGGGTGTTTGGAGAATACGGCATGTTGTATGTTAAATTAAACCCAACCAAGAAAGGGCGAATTCTTTTTAAAAAAAGTTTAAATTTGTATAGACAGTAGGGCTATCGTTTTTATACAACAGATGACACCACTGGCGATCGACATTTCCCTACTCAGTGCACCATTCTGGTGAATGCAAATTAATGCGAGTCTTTCTACCGCTTCAATGCTCACCAGTTGGCGCCAGTCTTCGCCACTAACGAATGACATTGACATTACTCTACAGTGGCGCCAAATGGTAATACCGCACATTGAGTGAATCGCATGTTAAAATGGTGAGAAATGATATATCGCCTGCAAGTTTATTCGTATTTTACGATAAGCACCCTAAATTTAAAGATAAATTGCATAAGCCCTTAAGTTCTGCGATGTAGGGCACGCTTTTTTTTTGTTATTATTGTTTTTTTTAGTTTAGCGAGTCGCTTTTGTATTCGTTTTTAATCTCTTAAATAATATGTAATTTAAAAGAAAACCGTCTGAATGTTGTGCTTACCCTTAAGTGACATATCTATCAGAAATGTTATCTTCATAAATGTTAATCATAAGAGTATAATATATATGTTGTTGGTATGCCATATAAAAAAAATATATAAATAAATAAGTTTACCGTCGAGCGTGTCAGGCTGGGGCGCGGGCGCGGCGAAGGAGTCGGCGTGGTTGGCGAGGCGCAGGCGGCCGAAGTCCACCACCAGCACGCGCGCCTCGCGCGAGCACAGCGCCTCCACGAACAGGATCTGCGGCGCCGAGATGTCCAGCTCCACGTGCCACGACCGCCGCTCGCCCTGGGAAGCATAAAAACCAGCTCATAAGTCACGCAACGAGAGTTGAGGCCATCAATAAAAGCAAAGTAGCTAAACATGTGAACTTATTCTAGCTTTTAACAACTGTATACCTTGTTTTATGCAAATAAACAATTATTCTATTCTAAAGATTTGTATCTGTATACAAACTGTACTGTACTGAATACTGTCTCACTTGCAGACATTTAAAAAGAGTGAGGTAGCTAGCGTATTCAATATATTGAACTTAAATATGTAATGTGTTGTGTTCTGTATATCACTTCAGTGTGAAAACGTGTTCGCTTCAACTTTTGTTGAACAATCTATGCTGACGAGAAACGATATCGTGAAGGTTGTTTAAAACCGGGGCGGCGTTTTAGAATCGCGCTGACCGCTCGCTGATCGTCGGCGCTGACAGATCAATATGTATGTAATTGAAGGGAACGTTCCTGAGTCACGCTGATCGCTCAACGCCGACGCTTCATACATTTCGGCTGTCAGCGCTGACGGTCAGCGTGACTCTAAAACCAGCCTAACGAGTAACAAGTTACCGGGTATGCGCGCATCATGTGCGCCCAGTGTCGCGAGAGCGTGGCGCGCGTGTGCTGGCGCACGTGCGCGTAGGGCGAGCGCGCGCCCGCCCACGCCGCGCGCACGAAGCCGCGCGCCCACCGCGCCGCCGCCGCGCAGTACACCACCTCCAGCGACGCCGACTTCACCCACAGCCTGCCACCAAACACAACATAACATATTAAGCTATAGTCTGGTCTGTGAGCACGTAGAATTTTGTCCAATGACCCCGAGCTGCCCATTCTTGTCGCTCGCGTGTAATTATGTTGCTATCGCGCTCGCACACTCACTGCAGGTGCCAGTCGCACAGTCTAAGCATAAGTAGCTAGGGGTCATTGGATAAAATTCTACGTGCTCACGGACCGGGCTTTAGCACCCATAACACAAGCATATTAGTTGCTTACTTTGGGGCTAGATGGCGTTGTGTGAAATTATCCAAAGATATTTATTTATTTATATCAGCTAAATAATTTGCAACAGGATATCACCTGTATGCTTGCCGTGACTTTACATTAGGTGTGCTCGCTAGCAACTGTTTAAAAAAATTACATGAAATGAATGACAGTTTGTACAGCGCCCGTAGCGGTTACTTCAAGAACTAAACACTACATTAATTTTTGACGCATTTAATAGCGATGATGATTTCATGTAAACTCATAGTAAAAGCCTTGATAGCTAATATCTAATGCTGTATTTCGATAACTAAAGCAACAGACATATTATACAGGGACAACTCACTTGTAGTCGGCGTTGACGCCGAAAGGTTTCTTCTCGTAGCTGAGCTGGAACAGCGGCTCCTGCGCGGGCTGCGCGGCCGGCTGCGCGCGCCAGCTGGCAGCCCCGCCCGCGCTCATTGCGCTCAGTCCCTCGCGGATCATGCCCTGTGGGATGAGATGCCTATCATATCGTGCAAAAAAGACACGGAATGAAGCAGAAAGGCACTATTGTGGATCTTATAAGCGCTTGCGCGGCGTCGACGCGGCGCTATGTAACGCTGGGTTATCGCAGCGCCAACGTAACGGTGTCTTCAGACAAGCGACGCAACTCCATCACATCGCAATGCTCAGCATTGGCGTCGCGATGCTTCTGCGCCAGGGAGTGTCAATCAATGATGCGCAGGCGCTGGCGAGACGACGACATTGGAAAAATGCTATTGTGGGGAGGGTCTTAGGGCGCCTACCCTAGGGAGTGCTAGGCAGAGCTCACCTGCGGCGCGACGAGCACGGGGAACAGCGTGCCGGGCGTGACGCGCTCGCGCAGGCACAGCGCGCCCAGCCGCAGCTGCAGCGCCAGCGCGCGGCTGCAGCACACTAGAGGCACAGCTCACCTGCGGCGCGACGAGCACGGGGAACAGCGTGCCGGGCGTGACGCGCTCGCGCAGGCACAGCGCGCCCAGCCGCAGCTGCAGCGCCAGCGCGCGGCTACAGCACACTAGAGGCACAGCTCACCTGCGGCGCGACGAGCACGGGGAACAGCGTGCCGGGCGTGACGCGCTCGCGCAGGCACAGCGCGCCCAGCCGCAGCTGCAGCGCCAGCGCGCGGCTACAGCACACTAGAGGCACAGCTCACCTGCGGCGCGACGAGCACGGGGAACAGCGTGCCGGGCGTGACGCGCTCGCGCAGGCACAGCGCGCCCAGCCGCAGCTGCAGCGCCAGCGCGCGGCTACAGCACACTAGAGGCACAGCTCACCTGCGGCGCGACGAGCACGGGGAACAGCGTGCCGGGCGTGACGCGCTCGCGCAGGCACAGCGCGCCCAGCCGCAGCTGCAGCGCCAGCGCGCGGCTACAGCACACTAGAGGCACAGCTCACCTGCGGCGCGACGAGCACGGGGAACAGCGTGCCGGGCGTGACGCGCTCGCGCAGGCACAGCGCGCCCAGCCGCAGCTGCAGCGCCAGCGCGCGGCTACAGCACACTAGAGGCACAGCTCACCTGCGGCGCGACGAGCACGGGGAACAGCGTGCCGGGCGTGACGCGCTCGCGCAGGCACAGCGCGCCCAGCCGCAGCTGCAGCGCCAGCGCGCGGCTACAGCACACTAGAGGCACAGCTCACCTGCGGCGCGACGAGCACGGGGAACAGCGTGCCGGGCGTGACGCGCTCGCGCAGGCACAGCGCGCCCAGCCGCAGCTGCAGCGCCAGCGCGCGGCTACAGCACACTAGAGGCACAGCTCACCTGCGGCGCGACGAGCACGGGGAACAGCGTGCCGGGCGTGACGCGCTCGCGCAGGCACAGCGCGCCCAGCCGCAGCTGCAGCGCCAGCGCGCGGCTACAGCACACTAGAGGCACAGCTCACCTGCGGCGCGACGAGCACGGGGAACAGCGTGCCGGGCGTGACGCGCTCGCGCAGGCACAGCGCGCCCAGCCGCAGCTGCAGCGCCAGCGCGCCGCCGCGCGGCCGCGACTCCACGCACACGCGCACCAGGCTGCACTGCAGCTCCAGCCCGAGGCTGGCGATCGAACGTATTATTTAGGCAGGGGAAACTAGCAAAACGAATTCATGAAAGAGCATAATTATGTAACAGTCAAAACTCATAATCAGTCAAACCCATTTTTGACTGCAAAAATCTGATGCCCTTGGTCAATTTTTCCAGTCAAAAGTGGTTTTGACCGAGGCCCGATTATGAGTTTTGACTGTAACACATGCACTGAAAACGAACCAACAAATAAAAATATGTTTTTTGCAACTCACCTATCTTCCTCGTCAGTTTCCCTCAAGTTGAGGCTGCCCTTGTTGAGCTCGAACTCAAACTGCGCGAAGACCGTGTCCCGCTTGAGCAGCGTGTTGTTCTCGATGGAGTCGGCCAGCACGTCGAGGATCTCCTCCTCGAGCTCGGGCACGGGCGCGGCGGGGGCGGGCGCGGGCGCGGGCGCGGGCGCGGGGTCGGCGGGCGCGCCGTACCAGCCCCACCACTGCGGGAACCAGTGCACCAGCATGCTGCGCCCCGACGCGCCCGGCTTGTCCGGCGTCGATGCCGGCGTCGATTTTGGCACTTTTCGCATGGCAACCTGAAAGATGCCCACACTCATATTCAGGACATCCGCCATACATGTTATGATCCCATTTTTTCCTGCAAATATGTCAGTCAAACTTTTGATATGAGGTTGTCGGTCCAACTTGTGAGTGAGCGTCCTACGCTGCGCTTTCCGGTACGTGGCCTCCGCTCCAGAACCTTGCTACCCCGTCAGTTCTGTCAGCTCTGCGTACTATATGCCCTGCCCGTTGCCACTTCAGCTTGCTAATCCGTCGGGCTATGTCAGTGATCTTAGTTCATGTAAGGTAGCAGGAAGGCGTTGGATGTAGACCGCCACCAGGCCGGACATTGTGGAAATCATTGGGCCTAGAGGCCTATGTTCAACAGTGAACGTCCTATGGCTGAAATGAACTTTTTTTAATGGTCATGGTCGGATGACAACCGAATTTTCGTATAAAGTCCACTGACCTCCCTCAAGGGCTTGAGGATGTGCAGCGGCGTGGCCCACTCGAAGTCGTCCTTGAGCTGCTTCTTGTCGGGCGGCAGCGCGGCGGCCGGGTTGCTGAGGATGAACAGGCAGATGTCCACGTATTGCTTCGTCTTGCGGGCCTGCTCCAGGCAAGACTCCCACGTTGGTTTCGGATCCGTCCCTGGACAAAAGATGCAGTTATAAGTCGTGCGCTTAACTCAGTAAGTGCCTAAGTTATGGGAGCGGTACTGGAGGGATAATTTTGACATGACAGAGCATATAAATTTAGTCTCACTGACATTTGACGTAACTGATCTGATTGAGTTATGCGCTCGACCTATACTACTGCTTCTATCATTAGGTTCAAACGAAGAGGTCAAAACACTAGAACCTATGAGTAGGTACAAAAAATATATTGTGGAATATCTATGAACTGCTGAGGTCAGGGTTAACAGAGGTCAGGTGGATAGCTAAAACAGCGCACTACGATAATACGCTTATTACGTGTAGTTTTAAGAGCTCTATGAAGTATTGTAACATTTCTGAATTAAATGTTATTAGTTAACGAGTAAGAATATTTGAAGTAAAAAAATAGGCAACTTTGAATTTTTATACTGCGAAAACTACGTGGAATATTCAAACAGGAGTTTTACTGTCATGTTTGTTTAGCTAAGCTCTATACGGTTCATCAAATAAATGAGAATGTCCGATTGTACAGTCTCATAACACACTGTGCATCGTAAGATGTATGGTAGCTCACAGGGGTGGTCGGGGATGTGGCAGGAGAGCGCGTAGAGCCACCAGAGGCGCGCGTGCGTGGCGACGGGCGCGTGCGGGCGCAGCGCGCGGAACTCGCGCACGCGCGCGATGCGCTCCAGCCCCAGCGCGCAGCCCACCGCGCCCTGGTACTGCACCTGAGGGGCACAAACGACTGAAAAATACATAATATGGAACAAAAAATATTAAATGCTGCTGTAATTTATATTTTCTACTAGCGGCCGCCCGCGACCGCGACTTCGTACGCGTGGATCCCGTTTTACCCCCTTCATCTATCTTACGCAGTTTAGATTTTTTACCTGAGCTACGTCCCTTCCAAATTTCAAGTGCCTACGTTTAACCGTTTAGGCTGTGCGTTGGTATGTAGTCAGTCAGTTTCTCCTTTTATATATTTTCTATGGAAATGGCCTTTTTAACTCAACTTCCTGTATGTATAATTAAGGTTCTACGAAGGCAATATTTTATTTATTTATTTTAAGGAAAGAGCTTAAGGCCTTTTCTTACGTCGGAAAATGCTTTGCGCTCCGACGACCAGTGGATTATATGGAATTGTAGGACTTTGGAACTATCCCCGCTAAAAGGGCAGGGTCTACTCTAAAGATGAGACGTATTTACTAGAACAGATCCACACACTAGGTATTTTACAGTACTAGGCGGCACCTATTCCAATTTTTTAAATACTTGATCCACCTAGTGTTTTATAAATTACACGATTTCCGACCCTATAATCAAAGTAATAGAGGTTATTATTGCGTAATACGTAGTCGTGTATTACGCGCACCTAGTATTTCTCGCTAAGCTTATGTGCGAACGTAGAGATTCACTCCGTCTCTGTCTGACCAAACAAATTTGAGCGCGACGAAGCAAACGCACACAAACGTAGTCAAACCATATTCATGTAAATAAGAAAAAATATGTAAATATTTTTATGAAATTGATATCTTTTAAATACGCCAACTTTTAAGTAGACAGTCCTAAGCCTGTTGAAGTATGAAGGGAGGAATTATTATTCAATTTCAAATTGCATTCATACTACGGTTGTATCTTTTAAAAAAAATGTATTTTAAAGTCATATTACGTGGATTAGTCCGCACTAGTCGCGTCAAGTATGCTAAATTACTACGTACTAGGTGGAATAGGTATTTGGATCGAGTATTAATAAATACTAGGAATAGGTGCACCTAGTATCAAATTTACCTAGTATAACCCATCTCTAGTCTACTCAGTAAAACGCCCGTTGTGTTTTTGTCTACCGGAGTCCCTGTGGATGATGGGCCCACCCGGCTTTACACTCACTGGTCTCGCCTTGGAAGGAGGAAGGAGGCGGGAGACGAAGGTTCCTCCTTCTCCCACCCGGCCGTCTGCGTGGGAGCGCGTAAAGGTGAACAGTTACCGCGGTGAGGTCGAGCGTGACGCTGTCGAGCGTGAGGTGGCAGGCGAGGCGGGGCCGCGCGCGCGAGCGCAGCGGTTGTTCCGTGCGCTCCCGCCGCACGCGCGCGCGCGCCGACGCCGGCCGCAGCACGTAGCGGTGCGCGCCCTGCCCCGCGCCCGACATGCGCTCCTGGAATCGGTTCACATTTAAAAGAAATAATTTATGGTCCCATTATTTGTATTGTATTGCTGTTGGTTTTCCGAATAATATAAATAAATAAATAAATAAATAAATAAAAAGCTTTGATAGGAGAACAATTGGTGAAGAAATGCTAGCCAAAGCAATGTGAAGTTGTCAAGGGACATAGGTAGTTTCATCTAACTAAAGTAAGAGTTTCTAACAAGAGATTGTTATTAGTCGTTATTGCTTAATCCTTCTGAAGGCAAACAATTTTCAAATAGGTCAAGAATATCTACAAAAGATCGCAGCACATGGCAAAGGTAAACGAAAATTGCTAAAAAAAATCCCACAACTCACCGTGAGTTCGGACAGCGGGCACTGCGCCAGCATGCCGGCGGGCACGGCCACGGGGTCCCAGTACACGGCCAGCGCCGCCAGCTCCAGCAGCTTGTAGGAGCAGCCGTCGGCCGCCGCCGGCGCGAAGCCGCGCGCCCAGCCCGCGTCGCACGACTCCGCCGTCAGCGCCTCCAGCGTCAGCCCGCACGCGAACGCGCGCGGCGCGCACGTGAGCGCGTCCTCGTAGCGGATGTGCACGTCGTACAGCTTCAACTGCAATCACAGTGCACAATAGCTCATTTCAGTATCTTTGTGCTTACCATGAGTTTACGTTAGGTGTGCTCGCTAGCGAGTACGTCAAAAAAATCTATGAAGATTTTATTTCTTGAAAGTAGCCGCTAGAGGCGCTGTACAATATGTCATACATTTTAATGTCATTTTTTTACGCAGTCGCTAGCGAGCACACCTAACGTAAACTCATGGTAAGCACACTTGTGTATGTGCATAAGTATTTTTCTATTTTGTAAATGATGTGATACTGAATAAATAATGAACGAATAAACGGTATACGAACGAAAATGTTTTCTTTTTTTCATTTAAAACTATCCAATTTCTCTCTCGAGACATTTTGTAGACTATACAAGCCGATGACATCGACCATCGCCAACTTGTGTGTGTGACATCCCCAACAGGGAATTAACTGCACGATGACCCCTAAACCTGTCTAGAACGTGTTTCTGACTTCGCCAGAGGGCGATGAGTTCTGTTCACCGACGCACCTGCAGGTTCTCGACGATGTTGTGCAGCAGGCCGGTGCCGTAGGAGAGCCAGGAGGAGTAGGAGGCGGCGTAGTAGCCGGCGTCGCGCGCCTCGTGCTCGGCGCGCCACTGCGCCTCCAGCGCGTCCAGCAGCGCCAGCTTGCGCTCGTGCGCCGTCTGCGCCTCCGCCTCGCTGTCCCACTGCGCGCAACACGTGCTCGGAATGAGCGTCATCGTTAAAGTACAGTCACAGATCTATACCACTAGCGTCTTTCGATTGTCGTCGTCTTGCCAGTGCCCGCGAAGCGTCGACGCGGCGTTGACTCAGCGTCACCGCGACACTAACATTTTTTCGAACAAGTAAAGCAATCCCCACACCTCACTGTTGCATTACTTATTCGGCAGCCACTCAGCATTCGCATCACGGTGACGCTGGCGAGACGACGACACTCGAAAGACACTAGTGACGCTACCATAATGCAAACCAAACAAAAAAAATACAAAAGCACTTTTGTTCTATTTTTTACTGGATCAAACAGTAATGTTTCAAAATATAATACCTATATTTTATTAGCTCTAGATCCAAATTTCATTCATATTGAGGTAATTCTTCCTCTCAATATGTTTGCAGCCATAAATAAACTGCTTATGGAAAAAACTATAAAAATAAATGTTTCCTGTCAACATTTTGTATGTTTCTGATTGTGAAATGGAGCATTCAATGAAGAATATTATATCTATGTCTTGCCTCATCTAAATTAACTGGTGCTGCCACCACATACAGCCTCTCAATGACTATGATCCAGGGTGCGGAGCGGATCTGGCGCACCGGCACCTGCAGCTGCACCTTGCCGATGAAGCCCGAGCGCACCTCCACCGGCAGGCCCAGGTGGCGCAGCGCATCTTTCTTTAGAGGTAAATTCTCTAACTCTACCTTGCCTAAAAGAAATCGAAACGTAACTTTAAGTTATTTAGGTAATTTATTGATAACTACAACCAGTAAACCAGTCTAATTTTGACTAAAACCAAGATATCATTTTAATTTGATTTTAACATCTATAAACAAATATCGGAAAACATGTCGCAAGATAAATTAAACCATAAACAGTTGCAGCTAGGACTATTTTAGAATGTATGCTTAAGAAGTCGTACATGTCTTAATTGGATACTCACCAGACAGCAGAGCGACACTCAGCTGATCTGTGTTCAAGTTCTCTACATACTTCCCGAGGTAGTTGTTCAAAACCCAAGCCACCAAGCCCTCCAACATCGTGCATGATGCTTTACACTACTTGCAATCGTTGCTTTTAGTTCATAAACGCATCCAAAACACCTGAAAATCATCACAAAGTAAAGGTAAATAACCCCATGTACACAAAATACAACATCTTGAAACATATTTATTACAATCAAAATAGTAGGGTATTATGTCGTTACGGTAATTAATTGCGCAATTCACTTACTTAACAAGTCGGTAATATTTATTTCTGTTTTGATTTTATGAAAAACGGAGGAAAATTGGCACCGTATCGAATCGAACACAATCGAACATTTGACAAGTCATTGAATGACAGTGACATGACAAAATGACAATTGACATTACAGACATTTGAAGTGATGTCCAGCAATGGACGTCATTTGGTTGAAACGATTGATCTATGTTGTCGATCGTTGCATCTATGAACTTGGCGAGCGCAAGATTCGATTTCATCGGACAACTGTCTGCGCGCGGCTACTTGGTATAGGTCGCGCAGTAAAAAATGAGGAGGTGAACACAGTACTTCTACTGATGTAATATTTGAATACCCCTCTAGAAAAAATGCCAATAAAGACAGTTTTCAATCGCAAGGCATCAGAGTGGCGAGCATGTACGTACGGACGGACGGATCTTTGCTGGAGACGCTGGAGTTGATAGCCTCTCGCTACGCGACCTCGATCTATGGCTTTTACAGTTAAATTGTCATTCTTACAAATCTGGGGGCACGGCAGTGCCCCCGCCAAGTCGAGCGCGAAGCAAACACTGCCGTACCATCCTTTACTGGAACCATTTCGCCGCATTTTCAGGCCCCTATTTGAGAACCTCTGGATAAGACCAGAACGCAGAAATTTTCGTCATCTAGTAAGCTATAATCACANGCCGATTATAAATCAATTTGAACGATTATTTTTTTGTTGAATAGGTATTATCAAAAGGGTGGTTTCATGCGAATTTGAAGAAAATATTTCACCCCCAAGGGTGGAAAATTGGGGATGAACTTTTTTGTACGCAATATTTTTAATTTTTAGTTTTTTTTTGTGTTCACGCATTTGAAGTCGGTTTTTTTTTAAAGTTAATTATCTAAGTAGACGATGGCACGTTAAGCTAAACACTGTGGCATCTTATGTAGATGGTTGTGGTAGTGATGATTTTGCAACTAAAAATTACAGACTGATGTGATATAGTCTACGCATCTGTATAAATAATACATTGGTTCGACGAATCCTTGGATTTAAATCCTTAACTTCCAACTCCTCCCATGTTCTTGTGATTAATTTCGTTGCGGGTCCAATGACAGTTTAACTTTCCCCCGGGACAAACTTGACCTTCATTGGTTGGGTTTTTTTTTTATGGCGGTCAAGCTGTAGATCCTAGCTACACAGAAGTGGGAACAAAAGATGGGAATAGTCCTGAATCCTAGGATTGAGATTTTAAAAAAATCTTCTAAGATTTTGTAGGTTACAAAGATCTTAAATACCTATAGGTCCAGTTATAAAAAATAGCTTAATAAATTGCTACAAAAAAACTTTTTGTGGAAAATTGGCGAACGGCGAAATTGCTCTTTAAATACGAGTATCTGATAAAAATCGTGATATCTTGTTTCAGTGGGAGTATCATATTATTATTTTATCATACTTATCACGAAAAAGATACCCGGTTATCGTTGAGAACTGTAGTGTGTTCCCATGTAATAAAGTGCTTAATGATTTTTCCCATCAACCATATTTTGAAACAAAAATAATAATGATAAAGTGCCTTTTTGCTGAAGAAAGGTAGAAACAGAATTTACTATCAATTTTATCTATAATTTAAAAATGAATCGCAAAATGTGTTGGTAAGCGCATAAGCATAACTCAACAACGCCTGGAAGAATTTTACCAATTGAAGTCCAAGGATGGTTTTTACCGCGAGAAAAATTCGAACAATTTATGTGAAAAAACCCTAAAAACAGCCCTTATTTCACGCGGGCGAAGCCGCGGGCGGAAAGCTAGTTAACTAACAAAAAAACTGTCTATTTAAAGTTAAATTGTCACTTACCTAAAACATCCATATCCACATATTCGCTCCACATAGCAACTTCTCCTCCCAACATGTGCTGGCTCTTTGGCAGGATATACGCGTACATTCTCCTCCAGTTGGAAAACTTGGTGGAACCCCAGAAACCGTGGTCCAAGTACCAAACATCTTTGGGGACGCTGATAGTTCTGTAGCCGAGACGAAGCAGTTCCATTAGGAGAGGACTGTCTAAGGGTTCCCAGACTTCGATGACGTATCTAAAAAAAGAAATTTACCAGGTAAGCTGAAAATTTTACGCGACACAAGAAAGTATCTTATAAGATGATCACAACTTTTTTACTCGAAATGGGAACAATCATTATGTCGTAAAACTGAATATGGGCAAACGTTAAGAAAATAGATAGTTCTATGTCCATATTTTAAAACAAAACTTAAATCCAAATTCATAGCACAAAACTAAATTCAGACTCAAGCATATTACATTGGACCAGTTGACCCGACTAATTGCAGGGTTAAACCTATCTTATTCCTGAAAGAGATTCATAATCGAATTTATTCTTGTAAAATTCATAAAATAACGAAGGATATAAATCACGATCGTCATGTCTGTCTGACTCATTTAAACTAGTAGCATTACCTGTCCTTATTGAGGAACCTCTGTATGTAGTTTGCCTTGGTCAGCGCCGAAGACCAGAGTATCACTGGCTGGGCGTCGGTCCCTATTGCCTTCAGCTCCTCGTCCCAAATGGAAAGTATGGTCTCGTGGAACTCCGACCAAAGCCGAAGGAACCCTTCCGTTGTTGTATTGAGACCCTTCTCTTGCATGTATGCTCGGATTTGCTCGCTTGAGTTCCAGCATGGGAAGAATACCTTAAAGATTTTGTTAATCAGTTGAGTAGGGTTAGTTCAAATTATTTTTGTAAAGGCAGCATGTAAGGAATACTATGAATCGTTCGTTTCAGCCAATGACGTCCACTGCTGGACAAAGGCCTCCTCCAAGGTTTTCCACAATGCACGGGTCCTGCGCTGCCCGCATCCAGGCTTTTCCCGCGACCTTTACCAGATCGTCAGTCCACCTAGTAGGAGGCCTGCCCACGCTACGTCTTCCAGCCCGTGGTCGCCACTCGAGAACTTTTCTGCCCCAACGGCCGTCTCTACGAGCTATGTGCCCCGCCCACTACGATAAGATACTATGAATGTCATTCGACTATTCCATGTTTTAAAAAGTCTAAGCTCAGCCAGACAGGAAGGCTCTAGATGCAGGCCGCTACCAACCGGGCGATGTGGAAATCATTAAGGGAGGCTTATGTTCAGCATTTGACATCCTGTGGTTAAAATGATGATGAAGCTCAGCCTTCTGGAGTACCTTATTACCCAGTGCTTCGTTTGATGACTCCTAATATGAGTAAAGTGAATATTAGGATGATGTTGCGTTTTGATATACTTAACTGACCTCATCACCACCCATATGGAAAAGGGCAGGTTTGGGCAGAGCTTCTGCTAGATCCTTGTACAGGTTTCTCAAGACCCTGTACATAGTAGGGTTAGCAGGGTTCAGTTGGCCACACGGAGGCTGGATACACAGTCCTCGCCAGGGCTCAGTATTCACACAGACTGCTAGGTCACCAAAGCCGTAGTCCTGAAAAGATGAAAAAGTTCGGAGTAACATACATGGTGGAAACGATATGAGTGATTTGATTCGATTATTTTCTTGATGTTGTTTTGTGTCGCTGAATAAAACATTTCATTTTTATTATTTTAAATCAAATGAAATAATTATATTTGCTAAAAACATTTTAAACTACTTACACAAGATATCGAAATACTGGTCACTGATCCTGAGAGTGCTTTGCAAGCTCTATCAAACGGTATCAATAATAAGCTACAGAATAAACTGGATCTGTCCGAAAATTAAATTTAGCAATTGAAGGATATAATCCTTTGATAAGGCCACGATATTAAAAATACTTGTACGAGTATGGTTTGGTCGGCCGTTTGGTGTAGTGGTTCGAATCGGACTACTATTCCGGAGGTTGCGGGTTCGATTCCCGCACAGTACAAACATTTGTGTGCATGAACATATTTGTTTGTATTGGACTGGGTGTTTTCTATGTATAATATGTATGTATTTACAAAAAAAAAGTATTTAAGTATGTTTATATCCGTTGTCTAGTACCCATAGTACAAGCTTTGCTTAGTTTGGGGCTAGCGGCGCAGTGTAAAATGTCCAAGGATATTTATTTATTTATTTATTTATGTTAGCGATCATTTTCCTTTAATTAATGTGTAGCATACACATTATTTCCCAAATTACCTGTCCCCACTGCCAGCCATTTCCTGCATGCGCAGGAGAGTCGATTTCAATGACGACTCGCACACCACGAATCTGGGCGTACTTGATCAACTGACGCACTTCTTCTGCAGAGTAGATTTCGGATGATGAGTATGCGCCGTATCTGGGAAAGAAATAGTGATGCTATTTTTTTTCATCTGGAGGAAAATTATGGTCTGGCTGAAGAAGAAGCGAATTTTACCCGGAATCCTCAAGCACAGTGAAACTGGCTATCTTTATTCCAACTGCCGCAATATACGCAATGCTGCTAACATTGTTGTTATGGCGACATACTTAGATAAGATCGAAGCCAGGCGGAATTAGAACAAGCTTTGGCACAAACCAAACCGAACAGAAAATTCTGCACCCACTGGGAATCGAACCCAGGATTTCTAAAGTCTAGTCTAGTTAGAATGTAGGTACACAATGCTGAAAAGAGTAGATGAAACATGTCTTTTTCAGGACAGGCTGAAAGGGAGAAAAGTATTAAGATAATCATACATTATAAATACGCAGCTTTACTGAACCTACAATTGACTGGTTATTGTTGAATCAACGTTTTCCAAGTGGCAATTTTCCATCGTCAGTGGGTAGCGGTTCAGGCGACTGATTGGTGCAATGGTGTCATGGAGCACCTGGTTTTGTCACCCTTCAACGGCCAAGTCACACAACATTAACTATAATAATAAAGAAATCGCAGTAAGGAACCATAGACTTGGCACGACTTTGTCTAGATTTCATTACTTTTTAGAGATAAACAAGCAGCTCCATCGAGACTTGGCTAGTTTTTTACAGAATGTTTTTGGTGGGATAAATGTAGACAGACATGCTTTATTTCAAAAGTCCTCAATATTTTTACATTTAACGACAGACAGGAAATCGATTTTGTTTTATTTTAATATCACAATGATGATCTTGGATACAACTACGAGTAGCTAGTGATCAAGAGTAAAGTAATCGGATCCTACATCAAACGAAGTGGTTACTTGCTTAGTGGTTACATCACTATTTGACGATTCCTTGAAAAAACGTTTCATTTAACGAATTTTATGTACAAAAATCCAACTTTACTATGTATTAAAAGGGCGCTGATTTACAAATGTGCCCTTTTCAAATCATGTTTTTTAAATGTTCATCTAATTATTTATGTAATTTTGCGTTCCTGTTGAATTCATTTATTCACAAAATCATCTTCCTTGTTCCTTCATTGACAGATTTTTGTCATGTCATGTCAGATGTAATCATCTTCCTTGTTCCTTCATTGACGGATATGTCCGTCTTGCAGCAATGTAACTCGACGCACACGATCTAATGAAAACACACCCGTTCGCCAGGGTCATTTATTACCGCATCCTACAGACAGCCTGAATATGTCTCTGGACGTGCCTGACCCGAGCATAGGCAACTCTCAGTCGTCCCCTCCCTCAACTAAAGCGATGAGTTCTACTGTGAGTAACACCGAATCAAAAGATGAAGTCACAATGGAAAGAATCAGTGCTCTTCTTGATGAAAAGCTAAATGTTTCGCTTTCGCTTTTTATGGATAGTTTTCGTAAAGCAATCAGGGATGACATTAAGGAAATGGTTAAGAGCGAAGTAGGGTCAGCATTGAGGGAAATTAAGGATGACTTCAGCGCTTCCAATGATTTTATCTCCGCTGAACAGACGGCTTTACGATCGGATATTGAAAAAAGCGCAAACATAATAAAGCATCTCGAGAAGGAAAATATGAATTTACAATCCGAAATAAACAGACTCAATATCCGCTTGGTTGGCATCGACAAGATCTCACGCAACTGCAACATCGAAATACAAGCAGTGCCGGAGCGTAAAAACGAAAATATTTTGGCTGTGCTCAAGAAACTGATTGAAGTTGTGAAGGCGCCGGTGGAGGATGGCCAAATTAGCGCTTGCCGCAGGGTGGCTAAATTGAATAATGCCTCTTCCAGGCCACGTAATATAGTAGTAACCTTTTCCACCCCACGAATAAGAGACCTGGTGTTGTCTGCAACCCATAGATACCACAAAACCCACACTGGTAATGGTTTAAGAACTTCCGACCTAGATATTCCTGGTGAACCGTGTAGAATCTACGTCACCGAGCACTTGTCCCCAGAGCAAAAGACATTGCACGCGGCAACTAGAAAGACTGCAAAGGAACGTAACTACAAATATGTGTGGGTAAAATATGGACAGATATATGTGCGCAAGGACGACTCAGCAGGTGCTATTCTTATCCACAACCTGGACTCCTTAGATAAGTTACGCTAGTGTTAATTTTTTTTAAAAAAAAGTTTGTTGCATTTCTTAATTTTATTTTGGTGACTGTACATTGCGCTAGCCGGCGGCCGGCGGCACGTGTCTAATGGCGGCGACAAGTTCGTTTGCTGCGCCGGCTAGTGTTGTACGATACGACACTCGAGTCTTGGAATCTTACTTATTAAAAGTTTGAAGAAAATAAAATAGCAATGAATAAGGACTGTGTGTTTATTATTTTATTGGACCGTTTTAACTTTTTGATTAAGAAAATCGTCAGTCTTTAGATGGATACTTCTGATTCGATTATTTGCGTTTAATGCAATTTGATTGATATTACATTTGTATTGTGCGATTTATTTTATTTTCAATCAGGATATAACATACGGATGATGATATGAAATTTATTACATTCACTCATTATTGCCTATTAGTATACACCAACTCAAGTTCATGTCATGATTCAGTCTAGCTCAAAGAACTTAAAATACTCGAAAGGACTCGGAAGGCTCAATGATTCATGTGAAGTCTTAAAAATAAACCCAAGTCTCGAAACAAAGACTTTTAAGACTCGAGGTTCTTACAACACTAGCGCGGTCAACTTTTTTGCTTCGTTTCGTTGCTGGGTATTTCGCCAAAAATAGTCAATTTTGCCTAATTTCCTTGGCACGAATTTCATTTTTGTTTTTAACTATTTTTAGTTTCCCATTGCATTAAGTAGTAAAAACTAAGCTAATATATCTAGAAGGGGTGTCATAATTCGTTTTAGAAACAAAGTTATGAGGTCATAAATTTTTAGTAGCCAAGGAAATTATTATAAATATTTTTTTCTCTAAATTTTCTTCTGTGGTTTGCTTTTTTTTTGTTCGACCTATTTTTGTGTACTTTCGCAAGCAAACATGCCAATGAATATTATATCATTACGACCTTTTTACACAACTAAGGAAGATAAATGCAGTAGATTGAGTTAAAAGTTAAAAACAAGTTTTTCTAAATCTATTCNCCGATTAAGCTGTATGGTATACTTATGTAAGTACGATGACAATGCAATGTTATTGTTGACGATGGCCACCTAGAGTAGGTACAACTTAGCTAGATTTAAATATTATTAATTAAAATGGCTACTTATGAAACTAATTTACTATCTTATTAGATTTGCCTTTCATTTGTATGAATATGTAACTGATGGTGCCTGAATGTAGGCTATACAGGATCCTTCTAAACTAGCTACATTCTGTTTAATGGGGGCATATATACGGTACACTGAACAAGTTCACCAACATTTCAGTAGGTATGTGTTTTATAATGATTTTACAAAGTAACATTTTCTGGCATAAATAAAAATTCATTCATTCATTCATAATAGAACATGTTGTATTTTTTCTCACACAACAAAGCTGTAGTGTATTCATTCTGCACAGGAACACGAGACTAGGGTTGCCAGGTCCAAAATCACAAAAGCCGGACTTTGTGATTCATTTGGCCGGACATTTTACCCTAAAGCCGAACATGTGACGGGGGGTACAGACACATTTTTGGGGTAAAAACCTTTCTTTTAATGAAATGAAGTTTAGAACTAGGCTTTTAAATGGTAACATAGTATAGTAATATTGGTGGGAAGTGGGGATGCATACGTTTGAAAGTGCTTGTCGCGGGTGGGTCGATTTTTATGATGACCAGTGTAGTTGATTCAAACTTTACTATGTCTGAATTTAGCTAGTAGCCTAGCCTACCCTCCTATGGTATAGTTAGCTATCCCCTGAGACTACTCAACCTTCATTGGTTGGATTTCATTGGAGACCAAGCTCTAGATCCTTGCAAGAGTTGCAGAGGTGGGAAAGTGTGGTGGGGTGTCCCGTTAGTAGCCTGGCCACCGTACCGAGGGTCGTCGCGTGCGCAAGTGACGCAAGCGATGTCACCCGGCCTAGAATAGATAGACGGGCGGGAGACACCTGTACCCGACGATGTAGCGGTGAATGGACTTTGCGGGCTTAATACAAAGCCAATAATATTAGCTCCTCATATTTGCATATTGAAATCCATACGAGGTCGTTTTTGAAACTGGATAGTTAGGATTGTCTCATGTAACATAGTGAGTAATTTTTTGTTTATATTCCTTTATGTATTTTTTATTGATACTAAAGGATTTGCAACACTGGATGCGGTCTGCGGTCAGGTTTGTTTATCACTAAATAACATTTAAGATTAATTTTGAGATTTCCGTTTAAGCGATGAATTTTCTATAAATACTAATCAGCTTCATACAGGAAAACTATAAGTTAACACTCAAAACAGTACCTAAAATTAAAAAGTCCAATGACGCATTGTATAATTAAAATACGCTAACATTTTCAACCAAGCGCAAGTCAAAGGCTATCTGTAGAAATAAGACACAAACACCTATACTAATAAGAACCAAGTTTAAAAGTATCTATAGTTCTCAGTATCAACGTTGGACGGACCTACCTTTAAAGTTTAGGTTTTTGTGTTCCATGACAATATTAATAACTTCCTCTTATGAAATGACATAAGCTAAACCAGTAGGCCTAAGATGCGCGCCGCGATAAGCGGTTATCACGCCATTTTATCGATTTTGCCCATACATTTTGACGTCGATAAAAGTTATCACGGCGCGCATCTTAGGCCTACAGATCGCCCGTGCCTTCGGTCAGATGTCTCCGATAGGTGATTTGTGACATCTTTTTCACAAATTATCCAGCGGTAATCTTTNAAATCTTTGTAATCTATATATATAAAAATGAAACCCGTTTCGCGTTGTCACGGCATCACGTGTGAACGGCTGAACCGATTTCGATAATTCTTTTTTTTAAATGTTTGTGGAAGTCCAAGGATGGTTCTTACGGAAAAAAATATTAAGAAAATCTCTAC